ATCACCGTGATGTCATCTGCAAACTTGATGATGGTGTTGGAGCCATGCATAGGCCTGCAGTCATGGGTGAAAAGGGAGTAAAGGAATGGGCTCAGCACACAGCCCTGTGGTACACCAGTGTTATGGTGGAGCAGGTGTTGTCTGACCTAACATGCTGAGGCCTGTTGGTCAGAAAGTCGAGAATCCAGTTGCAGAGGTAGGTGCTGATGCCCTGGTTGCCAAGTTTGGTGCTTAACTTGGAGGGGATGACCACGTTAAATGCTGAGCTGAAGTCCATGAACAGCATTCTGGCATAAGTGTTGTTGTTGAGTACACAGTGCAGTGCTATGGAGACTGCATCCTCTGTGCTCCTATTCCTTTGGTAGGCAAATTGGTGGGGGTCCAGTGTGGGTGGGAGACAATTAAGGATAAGGATAATCACCTTTATTGACCAAGTATGCTACACACAAGGAATTTGTTTCCGGTGCAAAACCAAGGCAGACATCTACGGCACCAACTCAATCAGCAGCAACTTGGGGGTGGGATCAGTGTCTTGCTTAAGGACACTTTGACATATGGGCTGTAGACACCAAGATTCAAACCTCCAACCTTCTGGTTGGGAGACAACTGCTTTACCTACTGCACCACTGTCACCTCCCTATTATTTGGGAGACAATCAATTAGTTCTGTTTTATTCCTAACATCCATCAATCTTTAGAGTGTTACATGTATCAAGGCTCTTAATGGTTTGGCTCCATCCTACCTCACTGAATTAGTGTATTGGCACAAACCTACAAGATCCCTCAGATCTTCAAGCCAGTTTCTTTTAGAGGTTCCTAGGGCCAGCTAAACGCTGGGGTGAGCGTGCTTTTACTGTTGCAGCCTCTAAATTGTGGAATAGTCTACCTTTTAATGTTAGATCGGCTGCCGACCTGACTACTTTTAAATCATTGCTTAAAACATATTTATTTGCCTTGGCTTTTAATGCACAGTAGGGGCTGATGCATTCCTTTTAATTTATTGAATGTATGTCATCTGTGTGTCTGTGTTATTGTGCTGTTTAATTTTTGGACTGATCCTATTTATTTTATTTATTTATTGTGATTTTATTCTGCCTATGTAAAGTACTTTGGCCAACTGGGTGTTGTTTTTAAAGTGTTGTATAAATACATTTGATTTAATTTGATCAAAAACTGCTTGTTAATGCTTGTTGAAAGTAACCTATGCTGGGGGAGAAACAAGAGCTTCTCCTAAGTAAAAATTATTCTGTATATCTATCTAAATTATCTGGTTTAAACACCTTTACAAATAAAGCCTGCAAATTAACATGAGAGAAAAACATTAATCCTTGATTATATTAGCCTTACTGGTCAGACCTGATAAAACCCATTTGAGGTGTGAAGCCATTTCTGTAATGGTGATCAGCCATGTTGCTAAGGGAAGCCTAATATAATCCTTTGATGTTAATTTAAAAATTATGGCTAACTTGTTTCCACATGAAACCCCATGGTGTTGTTGCTAGCTGTGATTTTATGACTTGCAGGTGTATATCGTAAAACAGTATTTTCCAAAAAAAAAAAAACAGCCTGGATCACTTGGATGTGGGCAAGGCTTAGACTTAGAAGCATGACGTAACCCACATCATAAATTAGCGGGACTTCACATCTTGAGTGACAGAAGCCAGCCTCTATAGCTCTCTGCCATTTTGTTTGTGTGGGGGATGATTGACAGGTATCTTTTAGCACCATTTTTCTAAGTGAATGTGTGTGTGTGGGTGATAAATAACAGGTGGTTAAAAGGTATTGCTGCCTCCAGATTGGACAAGTGACATCACATAATTTTGGGCAGGTTTATGGACTTAAAAATACCCCTTTGCTTCGTTTGTCTGTGCTGTGATTTGATTTTATTATAGAATGGAAACTTTTATGCCACAATGAAAACCAGTTAGTTCAGTTATTAAACGAAAACAAAGTTATTGTCCTTAAAATGTTTTAATGTGTAATTGCATACATAAAAGCAAATATATATATATAGAACTGTGTGTATTATATTTTACTTAATTTCTTTGTTTAATTAGTTTTTATTTATATATTCTTAATCTGCCATACTGGAAAAGCAGAACCTTGCACATCAAAGTATTGCTGTTTGTAACTGTGACTCTCATTGTCAATCCAGAGTTGAGTCTTGGAGCATGGGTTGGTGTAGTCTTCATCCTGCTCACAGTCCTCATCATTATTGTTACGGTGATGGTCCTCTGCTGCAGATGCTGCCGACAAAGAAACAAAATCCCTAATACATCTCAGTCATCAGTGCCTGTTTAGTATGTGTGTATACAGTGCATGCCTTTCCAACATAGGGAGCTGATCTCACCTCAGCTTTTTATCTCTGCTTTGTTTCTAGGAATTCATTCTTTCACACTATGTTCTTTTTTTTTGCTTACATTGTATTGTAGATATGAATTTTCTATTACATGTTTAAAATTTATATTCAAGGTGAATTGTCCTATATATTTGAATGGCCATTTGAACTTGTGCACATCAGTACATTAAAAATCTGTACAGCTTTATTTTATGGTTCTTAACAGAACACAAGGGTTAAAAGATGAAAATAGCCCTTTCTGATGTAGGAGTGCTGACTAAATCTATGACATTTCCTCATAACTCTATCCTTACATTTTACCTTACTCTCTTGTTTTGACTTAGTAGGCCAGTTAACCTCATTTTCTCTGAGCACATTTTCCTAATGTATCATTCTGTTAACCTGTAATGTTTTTTTGAACTTTGTTCAGTAAAGCTATAATATATATGCACTCTGATGTTGTTTTGGTTTATTGTAGATGAAAATAGCCCTTTCTGACACATTTACATTATTTGATGTCAATGAATGTGTGTTGTGCCATGATAAACAGATGAAATGAAATTTTCTCTTAAAGTTTTGTCAGGCCTATTACAAAAAAACACAAGTACAGTATGTGAAGCTCTTTAGTGGCATCTAGTGCTTTATAAAACTAGTTACATCAGTAAATTAATCTCCTTATTTAACATTACTTTTATATCCTAATTTGGTAAAACTCAACCTAATTCAGGGATTTGTATTTTTTTTATGTCACCAGATTAACTTTAGTTCATCAAAAGGGTGGAAAAACATTGTCATTAAAAATAAAAAGGTTCTAAATTTGCTATTTCTTTAATTCACACTCACATTCCAATAGTCTCATCACTTTCAGCGACAATATAATTCATAACAGTTTCAGCAAATATGACAAAAAGTGATTTTTTATAAAAGTTACAGACCTCAGCTCTAAGTTTCTTCCACTGACATTTTTACCCAGAATGTTTTATTGCACATACAATAACAAGCATAGGCATTGTAAACTTCAGCCATAAGTTTCACTTTCACTTCTCCTGGGCTCACTGTCTCCACTGCTGTGACACCAGTTGTCTCTGTGCGTGTAGGAGCTGACCACCATATTTGCTAATCATTAATCTCACTCAGTGGTCCTTGATAAAGTGCTCCTGTAGAGTGCTACACCATTAGCACCAGTTCTCCTATTTGATCATGAGTTACTACCTTACTACCCCTACTACAGCCTATAGTTTGCTAGCTAGCTACGTAGCTATGCCTTCGCCCCAGAAATGCATCTTTCCAACATGTTCTCCCTTAAGACATCCATGATGAGAACAAATGGCACATTTCCAAAATTAGGTGTGGTTTCAGTGTCTTCACCTGAGCAGCAGAATATCAGAGCAGAGAATGATTATTATTTTTTCATGATATTGAAAGCTCATTTTGTATCCTGGATTTTTTTAATCATTCACATTTGGCTGGGTGGTAAATAACATTTTCTTGTTGTGTGACAAACAGAAGTGAAGTCAAAGTCAAGTTCAAAGTGTTTATTTGTCATATGCACAGTTAGGAAACGTGTTTCCCTGTACAATGAAATTCTTACTTTGCCGTCCACATGAATGCCACAAAATACAAATGAAATATAAAGTAGATAAATAAGTAACACAAAATCTAAGACACTTTAAGCAGCAATATAATAAAAATATATAAGGATATAATAAGAGAATGTATGCTGCATGGGAGCAGCATGTGCAGCAGTCAACAGTGTGCAATTATGCATGTGCAAACTGAGAATGTAAACAGTACAGGTAGCTTTCACAGATCGTCTCTACACCGCCGCCTGAGAGACCCCACGAACCAGCTCCGGCTCTGTTCTGCTCTTCTCAACAACCTGCAAGACCACCACCTTGCCGCCACCTGGATAAGCTCCCAAACCTGCTTCAGCTTGGCATCCCTTCAGCCTTACACCAGAGACACCACCCAGTCACTGGGGATCAGACCAAACCAAACACTATGATGTTGTCACCACCAGTCCTGGTCCAACACTGCCTGAGTTCACTATCCATCCTGTGCTTGCAGTCCCATCTTCACATGGGAGTTGATGAGAGCAGCAAAGCCCACTCATCTCATGCTCTGTAACTGAATAACCTTCCGTCTGAATCTGCCATTGAGTCCTTCATCCCTGAACTGCTCAATGGATTACTTAGGAAATTGTGTTTGTGTGCAATTCCAGGTATGAGTTTCATGTCAAACTGATGAAATGATGAGATGCTCAAACACATAAGTAGCAACAGCACAGCTATGGCTTTACCCAATGTCTCACTCTAGGCTGCAGGTCCATTGGCAGGAAACTGGAATTATGCACCTACAACAGACAAAAAAACTTGTAGAAACTTCACTTAATTAAAAAGGCTGCTCCTGAGTGTATTACTTTCCTTTGAAAATAGCAGCTAGTGTGGAGACATGGTACATGATGTTTATGGATGAAAAAGTTGACTGTGGACGCACTGTCAACTTGGACAGCAAAACACAAGACTGCATTACAATTGGCAAGTGAAGACAATTGCCCACATTTAGAAAAAACATACATGTTTAGTCTTTTTAATTTGGACACTATTCCACTGTACAGAGTTTTCATCTTTAGGTGTAAAAAAATATTTAACATTATAACAGGGACTCAGCCTATTCTTTCTATGAGCCATTGACTAGGGTATTTGTTTCATCTTACTTAATATTGATGGGTGCATTTGATGTATCTTAGATGTAGATAGAGCATATATCCCACACACTAACAAATCTTTTTTACAAAAACATTGTACAGGGGCACTGATGAATAAGGCGAATAAATGAGTAGACAGAAACAGTAAAAGAAGAAGAGACATTCTACCCCCACATGCGCTATTCCGAGTAAATATTCAAGTAAATAATCAGAGAATTTTATATTTTCATATGTGTTCAAGTTTTGGCACGGATTTACTTCAGGTCACCTCCTGTCGGTTTACAAAAAAAAAAAAAAAAAAAAAAAAACACCTTGCTT